GGGAGGCGCGCAGCCCTGATGGGCAGCCCTTTCACCTTTCCACTAAGGCCCATGAAGGCCCATATGGCTCCTGGGGGGTTCCGGTAACCTCCCGGTAACCCGGTAAAATCCCGATTTCACCCGGAACACTTCCGATGTCCAAACATAGGCTTCCAATATATCAATCTTTATGTCTCGACCATTTCGAGACTCCTCGTCATGTCCGTGATCACATCCGAGACTCCTGACAACCTTCGGTACATCAAAATGCATAAACTCATAATGTAACTGTCATCGTAACCTTAAGCGTGCGGACCCTACGGGTTCGAGAACAATGCAGACATGACCGAGACACGTCTCCGGTCAATAACCAATAGCGGGACCTGGATGCCCATATTGGCTCCTACATATTCTACGAAGATCTTTATCGGTCAGACCGCATAACGACATACGTTGTTCCCTTTGTCATCGGTATGTTACTTGCCCGAGATTCGATCGTCGGTATCCAATACCTAGTTCAATCTCGTTACCGGCAAGTCTCTTTACTCGTTCCATAATACATCATCTCACAACTAACATATTAGTTGTAATGCTTGCAAGGCTTATGTGATGTGTATTACCGAGAGGGCCCAGAGATACCTCTCCGACAATCGGAGTGACAAATCCTAATCTCGAAATACGCCAACTCAACATCTACCTTTGGAGACACCTGTAATGCTCCTTTATAATCACCCAGTTACGTTGTGACGTTTGGTAGCACCCAAAGTGTTCCTCCGGCAAACGGGAGTTGCATAATCTCATAGTCATAGGAACATGTATAAGTCATGAAGAAAGCAATAGCAACATACTAAACGATCGTGTGCTAAGCTAATGGAATGGGTCATGTCAATCAGATCATTCAACTAATGATGTGACCTCGTTAATCAAATAAAAACTCATTGTTCATGGTTAGGAAACATAACCATCTTTGATTAACGAGCTAGTCAAGTAGAGGCATACTAGTGACACTTTGTTTGTCTATGTATTCACACATGTATTATGTTTCCGGTCAATACAATTCTAGCATGAATAATAGACATTTATCATGAAATAAGGAAATAAATAATAACTTTATTATTGCCTCTAGGGCATATTTCCTTCAAGATCAATATATTAGATGACTATGTTTGGACATCGAAATGGTTCCAGATGAGTTCGGGCATTAACCGGAGTATCGGGGGGTTACCGGAACCCCCCGGGGAGTATATGGGCCTTATTGGGCTTTAAGGGGGAGAGAGAGGGGCTGCCTATGGCAGGCCGCCGCCCCCCCTCCCAAGGCCTAGTCCGAATTGGACTAGGGGGAAGGGGCGGCGCCCCCTCCTTCCTTCTCTTCTCTCTTCCCCTTCCTTCTCTCCTACTCCTACTACTTGGAAAGGGGGGAATCCTACTCCCGGTGGGAGTAAGAATCCCCAGGGCGCGCCATAGTAGAGGGCTGGCCCACCCCCTCCTCCACTCCTTTATATACGGGGGAGGGGGGGCACCCCATAGACACACAAGTTAATCATTGATCTCTTAGCCATGTGCGGTGCCCCCCTCCACCATAATCCACCTCGGTCATATCGTTGCAGTGCTTAGGCGAAGCCCTGCGCCGGTAGCTTCATCATCACCGTCATCACGCCCCCGTGCTAACGAAACTCTCCCTCAACACTCTGCTGGATCGTGAGTTCATGGGACGTCACCGAGCCGAACGTGTGCAGATCGCGGAGGTGCCGTACTTTCGGTGCTAGGATCGGTTGATCGTGAATACGTACGACTACATCAACCGCGTTATCATAACGCTTCCGCTTACGGTCTACAAGGGTACGTAGACAACACTCTCCCCTCTCGTTGCTATGCATCACCATGATCTTGCGTGTGCGTAGGAAAATTTTACTATGTTCCCCAACATGAATATCTTTTTATGGTGTGGCGGTACCTGCAAGATCACCCTCTTATGGCTTGTGATCATCGGGAGAAGTCCTAGTTGTGTGAGTTTGACCAATTGATTAAGAATGCGATCCATTTGGGTACCTGCTTCTCCGTTGAAGGAGGTCAAGCAAATATTTCCATTTGACCCAGTCAAAAGCTTTTCGAATGTCGTGCTTGAAGACAAGGGACAATGTAAGTAAGATTGCTCACATACAAAATGTTGTCGTGGATGCTTCTCTATAAATGCACCTTGATAGTTGAAGATGATGATGTTTATGTGAGGACCGAGGCGGACGACGAGAAGCTTGGTAATGATCTTGAGCACCCCATGGATGAGACTAATATATAGACGATGATGCTCTTCACATTCTTCTTGGGGAGAAGCACCACATTAGAGAAGTTGGTTCATTGAAGATTTGCCACATGCATATGTAGATCGGTACAAACTAAATATGAGCCATCCTTATTTTGACCTGAATTTGACTCAGATTAAGTTTGATATAAATCCAACGCTTTACGCAAAATAAAAATACAACTCAAACTAGACTTATTCCTAGGATAATATGAGATATTATTTTGTTAGATTTCGCTGCAAATCGAACGTCAGATTTTTAAGTAAATGGCAAATCGAACATTTTTTTGAGGAATAACGACAGGAGTTCTGCCTTCATATTAGAAGAAAGAAGGGGAACCAAGGTTCCCTGGTAGTGTACAGACAATATGGAGAAACAAGCATCCACGCACACATACTCAGCCAAAGAAACTAGAAAAAGGAAAAGAGAAGAGAAAAGCTAAGCATTAGCCTCCTTGAACAAAGCAATCTCGTGTCTGGCCAAAGCAGCAACTGTTTCAGGTGAGCATCTCTTTCCTTCAAAAGTTCGCCTATTTCTTTCTTTCCAAAGATTCCAAGCAACGTAAGCAGCCGATGTGATTTGCATGCAAAAAATCGAGTTGTTGTGCAGGTTCCAGGTCCGTTTCCACCAGCCTTTGATTGTCATTGAAGTTGAACCAACAACAGCAGCCTCTGGGTCGCTCTGCTGGAAGGAGAACCAGACCTCTCGGGCAAAAGGGCAAGAGAGCGTAATATGGGCAGCCGACTCCAGAACCTGATCACAGGAAGTACATTTGTCTTTGTGTGGCCAACCCCTTATCGCAAGAAGATCAGCCGTCCAGGTCCTATTCTAGATCAATAGCCACAGATGGAACTTCACCTTCGGCTTGACCTTAATCCTCCATGAGGCGTGCAACTCTGGCTGAACGATCCGGCCAACAAAGTGAGCATTGTAAGCAGACGCAACGGAGTAACCTCCGTCATTAGTGAGCTTCCACCGGATGGGGTCAGGAACATTTGTGAGGACAATGGGTTGCAGCAGTTCCCATAGCTTGATAAGTTGATCCAGCAAATCTTTGGAAGCAATTCTTTCCAGGCCCTTCATCCATCGATTACCAGCAAGTGCTTCCTTCACAGTTCACTTCTTCCGTCGTGCCAGACCGAACAGACCAGGGGCTACATCCACATGGGCCATGCCCAACAGCCAACAATCATTCCAGAAGCTTACGCGCTGCCCATTCCCTAGTGAAATCTTCGTGCAAGCAGAGAAAAGCAGCATGTCCGTGCGATCGCATGGGATGGGGGAGCCCTGCCAAGGCCTAGAAGTGAGGCTCCACTCTAGCCAAGCCCAACGCAGCCGCAACGCCCCGCTGAAGCAAGCAATGTCTTTGATTCCAAGGCCACCCACATCCTTTGGGGAGCAGACCCTCTTCCAGCTGACAAGGCACTTGGCCCCACTGCACTCCTCATCACCATTCCATAGGAAGTTGCGCTGAATCTTTTCCATCTTCTTTATCGTCCATTTGTCGATTGCAAAACTTGTTAAGAAATAGGTGGCCATGGACGTAAGCACATAATTTATTAGGTCGAGTCGTCCTGGTTTTGTCATCAGTTTGCCGTTCCATCCCTTGAGTCTTCCAGCCATGCCATCCAAGAGAGGGAGGACTTCAATTCGCCTAAGCTTGCGATAGCTGAGTGGTAGGCCAAGGTAACGACACGGGAGAGAGCCCGTCGTCCCACCAAAATCTTGGATAATATCCTGGAAGTCCAACCCTCACACCTAACAGGACAGGCAACACATTTCTGGGGGTTGATCTTGAGTCCAGAGGCCTCCCCAAACCTATCTAGTATTGCTCTGACCGCACACACTTCCTCCTTGATAGGGTTTAAAAATAGGGCCGCATCATCTGCATACATACTTGTCCAAAATCTGGCCGCCTTAGGTCTCAAATGAGATAGAACCCCGCGTTCTGTCGCAAGATCCAACAGTCTCCGAAGCGGCTCCATGATGAGAATGAATAGCATTGGAGACAGGGGGTCTCCCTGGCGAAGGCCGCGCATATGCCTGAAGGGTATGTAGGGGGTGCCATTTAACAAAATTCTTGAGGAAGCGGAGCTCAGAATGGCAGACACAATATTTCTCCCGCGCTGACCAAAACCAAAGGCAGACAGGGTCTCTAACAAGAATCCCGGACCAACGAAATCAAACGCTTTTGCAATGTCAAGCTTGAGGAAGACTAATGCCTTCTTCTTGATGTGAGCCTCTCTAACGACATTGTGCACGTAAAGAAAATTGTCCTGAATACATCTCTTTTTTTATGAAGACGCTCTGGGAAGGAGAGACAAGGGAGTCAAGCTCCGGGCCAGCCTATTAGCAAGCAACTTGCAGACGATCTTGGCTATGCTGTGCACCAAGCTAATCGGCCTATAGTCCAAAGGGGTGCCAAGAGCATCTTTCTTTGGCAGAAACACAATATGAGCAGAGTTTAAAAGATTCCAAATCGAACATTGGTGACACCAAATTATGTTGTCGCGAGGATATCAATTTTCTCCGGCAAGCCTGACAAATCCTGAGGACAACATAATCTGCCCTCCAAAGACGTTCGATTTTTAACATTCCCCTGACAAGTTGTAAACAGAAACGTCCTGTCTGCGTGGCGCGTGCGGCTCGGAAGATACAAACAAACCTCGTCGTCCGCCGATCCGATCAACTCCCTAGGGCAAGGGGCCGGTTTGCCTTGCCATGGCGCCGGACAGGCTGAGCAAATTGCCGGACTGCCTGCTCCAGGCCATCCTCTCCTCCTTGGGAGCCAGGCAGGTCTTGCAGACGACGGCTCTGTCGCGGCGGTGGCGCCACGTCTGGCGTGGTGCTCTGTGCCTGTCCCTCGACATCGACCAGCGGGAGTTCGAAGCAGCGTCGACCGACCGCGACGGCAAGAGCAGCAGATCCGTGGAGCTCGAGGAGTGGGCAAGGTTCGACGACTTCGCGGACAGCCTCCTCCTGCTGGAGTTGGACCGCCGCGACGGCGGCGACGGCCTGCCCCTGGACCTGGACTCGCTCCGCCTGCACGTCGTCGACCATCTGCAGGCCAGCCGGCGGAGGCTGCCGCTCCACATCAAGTGGCTGGACTGGGTTCACGGCTGCCTCGACCGCTACCGTCCCGCCGCGCTCGAGATCCAGAGCGATTACGACATAGCCGTCGACCTGCGTCTCATGGGCCTCCGCTCCGATCTAAGCCGCCTCAAGACGGTGCGCCTCACCGGGGTCCTACACAGCGGCGGCCTCGGCGACTCCGTGTGCCCTCAGCTGGAGAACGTCGAGTTCACCAGCTGCGCCATTGGTTTTGGGGAGGTGGTGACCAGTCACACGCTCAAGAAGCTGGTCATGGACCGTTGCTGGAGGAGAGCGGATATGAAGCAACGTGCTCCCCCGCTCGTCGACGCTCCCGCCCTTACTTCTCTACGTCTGGTCCTCGAGTTCCAGGGCATATGGGTGTTCCGGACGCCGTCGCTCGTCGAGGCATCGGTCCGTTCCACGAGACGGTGGGTCGGCAGGGCCGACGAATACCAGCTTCTCTGCAACCTCTATAACGTGACAAGATTAGAGCTCTCCGGCTTCCTGGCGCTAGAGAAGGTGCGTTCTATGGCCGACGAGAACTTCTCTTTTACTTTGGCTTATCTTTCATGGAGTGCAGACACAAGGCGAGCAATTTTTATGACACTGAATTCCTCTTTGTTTCAGATTAGGATGAAGCGAGGACATCAAGATTTGCCAACATTTCATAATCTGACTACATTGCTCTTGGACGAGTGCGACTTGACCGGTGAAGTTTACAACATGCTAGAGTTTTTTCTGAACAATGCTCCCAAACTGGAGGAACTTACTCTGCAGAATTGCAAGGTACTTAGATGTCTCCCCTTACTCCCAACTTGAAATAACAGTTAAGCTTGCACAGATCATTAATACTTTCAACTTAAATTAAAGCTTCCGCAAGATTGGACCGAGTCGAAGAAGATGTGTCTGAACCTCAAGTTTAGGGAGATCAACTCTCATAAGGAGGGTGATTTTCAACAGGTGGATCATTGAGCTTTTGCTGGGATTGAAGAGACCGGCATTTGCTAAGAAACAATGAAGGGACGTGGGCGTTGATCAAATAAATGTTCTATTTAATTCAAACACAAGCATGCTTGTATTCAAATAGGTTACAGGAAACCAAGAAAAACTCTTGCAGGTAGCATTGCTATCATCTGCTTTCTCTCTGCCCCGAGGATTTGTAAGAGCATGACTAATAATACTCAAAATGATATTTGCGATGTCATCTAGAGACATCATATATATTCACTCATATAATAAAGTTGGCTATTACTCTCACAGAATCGTCATATTGGTAGGCTCCATATGCATATGCATTATCAAGGAAGGATGTCGAGGTGATGCGCAAACTCAGAGCCTCCATATTTACTGCCTCCATAATCATGGGACCTACTCGTCAATGGGACATCCCTTTCCTCAATCTCCCTGCCATCCCATGAAGTTTCCTTCGTGCCATAGCCATGCTAAAGGCGCTCTATATCTTCATGAAGGACACCATATTTGGCTACATCAGCACCCCACTATCCACTATATCACAACAAACATTGATTCTACCTCCGTTTTCTATTACTCCGTGTCTAAGTTTTTCCCATTTTTTCCCAATTACTCTGTGCGCTAGCCTTTTTCTCGGTTTCCTTCCAACTTTGCCTTGCTTTTTCGGCTTATCACGCAGCTAATGCGTGTACTACCCAATCTGTTGTGTGACAGAGAAATTACTATTAATGTAGGAGTTAGTGCGCATGCATGAGCGGACGAGCAACATGCATGACAACCGAGTCGTTGGGGCCAATCAGCCGCGTGCCCTTACCTATAGTGAGTCGGTTCCCAACATGCAATTAACATCAAAGCAGGGGTAAGAAGGTCCAAGGAAAACTCAGTGATGTGCTCCTTGGTATGCGGGTTACAAGTTATGCGTAGAGAAAAGAAAACATAAGGAGTGTCGATTAGTAAGATGAAGCGTGCGAACCAACACGTGGTTGGATGGTTAGAGGGATTGTGGTATCCCCAGCCCACCAGGGTTCAAGGCCTGGTGCTCGCATTTATTCCTGAATTTATTTCATGATTTCTGGCGATGCGCATTCAGTGGGAGGAGACATTTCCGTCAATAACGAGGTGTCTACGGTGACTTCGTAAATTTCAAGATGATATGTCGGCTTAGTTTTTCGAAGGTGCTCATAGGGGTAGGGTGTGCGTGTGTGCGTTCATAGAGGTGAGTGTATGCGCGTGTATATGAGCGCTTGCGTTTGTACTGTGTTGAAAAAAGATGAAGCGTGTAGACTAAAAAAACTATTTTATTTTCTATATGTGTATGTGGGGTGTCATATTTCCATTTTGCATCACTATTTCTAGTACAAATTATCCTATATCAATGATTTATTTCACATTGTGATGCAATTTTAATGTATTTTCTCTCTTAAAATGCAATGTAAACACAAAGAGGGAAATTGTCGAACATCTGGAAGTCTGGACCTAATTCACAACAGAAGAAAAAGCAATCTTTCGGAGCTCCAAAAACACTGGGATTTTACTGAATTATTTTATATGAAGACGGGGAGCGAAGATTGGTCGAAGGAGACCCACCAGGGCGCCACGTGACCACCCCATGTGGGTGGGGCCTAGGGCGCGCCACCTGGTCACGTGGGCTGGTGGCTCCTCTCATGGTGCCCTTTTGCCATAAATTCACAATTACTCTAGAAAAAAATCATAAAAAATCCTCGGGACTTTCCGCCACCGTCTACGAGATGGAAATGGAACCCATGTGGAGCACTTTTGCTCTTCAATGGAGCGATTATGTCGGGGAAACTTCACTCCAAGAGGGAGAAATCAAATCCATTATCATCACCAACACCCCGTTCATCATTGGGGTCATCATCTTCATCAATATCTTCACTAACGCCATCTCATCTCCAAACTCTAGTTCATCCCTTTGCTCAATCTTTGTATCAAATTTTAGATTGGTTGTGGGGTGTACTTATATGTGTTGGTTACACCTTGCAGTTAATGCATAGGAGATTTATTGGTGAAAGATTGTTATGTTCTCATTGTTTATCTTATATTTATACCCATTGTCATTATCCATGTGATGTCTTGTGAGTAGATCCATTAGTTTTTTAGGACATGGGAGAAGTCTTGTTGCTAGTAATCATGTGAAGTTGATTATCGTTTAATATTTTGATGATATGTTGCATTGTTTTTTCTCTAGTGGTGTTATGTGAACATCGACTACATGACACTTCACCATCTTTAGGCCTAGGGGAATAGATTATTATGGAATTAGTTTGTAGATGATGTGTTGCGGGGGTGATAGAAACCCAAAACCCAGTTTATGAATTGTTCCGTGAGGGGTTGTTTTGGATCCTGTTGTTTAATGTTATGGTTAGATTTATCTTAATTACTTCTCCTGTATTGCGGATGGTTGCATGGAAGGTATAATCATAAGTAGGTATTTGTTCAAGTAAGGGCAATACATTATCTCCGATCCATCCACACAACACTTGTTGAATCAATGAACGGTAACATAATGAATCGTGGTGAAAGTAACTTGGCGAGATTCCCATGTGGCCTCAAGAGCGTTTTAGCTATTACAAGAAATACCACCGTCTTATCCTTAGAATACATAAGGATTGGGCCACTTGTTGCACTCTATTACTTTTGTTACTTTTATCTTGTTACAAATTATGTTGCTATCAAACAACCTATCAAATTATTTTACATCATTTATAGTGAAGCCTTGCTGAAAACTACTAGTGAATTCCTTATACTCCTTGTTGGGTTCGACACTCTTATTTTATCGAAAAGGCTATGATAGATCCTCTATACTTGTGGGTCATCGGGGTGGAGGAGGGCGGGGTGTGGTCACCGTCCTGCGAGGGCGGTCGTTCTGATGGTTCAAAGTGCCAACTTCGAGACGGGGCCGGTGATGGTGCAATGGAGTTCCTAGGGGTCTTGTGCAGGTTGTAGTTTTGTGTTGTATAGGCCGGTGCATGATCTTCGAGATTTATTCTCTTTCCAGCGAGACGACTTCGCTTCAAGGGTGTTGGTCCTCCAGGGCCTAGGTGCAGTGACTTCCCGTCTGCGACACCATCCAAAGAGTGGTCCGTTCAGGCAACGATGGCTGTGGAGTGGCGGCAGCGACGTGCCGTCAGCCCGCTCGGGAGGCTGCAATTGGTCGGTTCCCCATGGACCTTATTGTAATTTCTGTATTTTTACAGGGGTTCTTGTATTGCTGGAAACTTTAATAGATTAAGGGGTTGTTTTACAAAAAAAGGTGCAACTAATACATGCGGGAACAACAAGAGAGCATGAGAGAATACAATGGTGTTGAAACTTTGAAGAGGACACTCCCAATAAAGGAAAAAAAAGGGTCCTACCACCAAGAAACAAGCAACACTGAGGTGTACACCTGAGATCCATCGGAGCCGGAATGCACTATCGCCCATGGGCTTTCTGAGTCTATCAACAGGGCCAGCATGAGTGTCAGATCACACATCTTTGTGGCGCGTCGACCAGGGATTTTCCCCATGCTTCCCGGACCCCGAATTCGCCGCCTCAAATCGAACTCGTCAAAGAATGGTATCACATCCAACTTCCAATGACCACTTGCATAACTCTAACGTAGCTGAAACCTCGCACGAGCCAACGTCGTCATCAACTAGGACAACCACCTCCAGGCGTGCTCATCAACTAGGGGCGTAGACGTCGTAGCAACGGGATCGAGAGCAAAAGAAAACATACATGTTGTGGAGAGAAAAGAAATAGATGTTATGTACCAAAACCAAAACGTAGGAAGGAACATGTGGTTGTATTGGTCGTGGATGCTATTCCTTGTATGCGGAGTTTGACATCCTCGCCATTTTACGCTGTCTTGAAGTCTTGATTTTTGAGCATATTGAAACTTCTAACAGCAACAAACATAGCAGCACATTACTTTATTTGTAAAGAATCTATTTCCTTCCTTCGAGTTTACTGGGTCTCCTAGTATTTTGGGTCAAACTTTGGTTATATATATAACTAAGAAAATAGAGTATATGCTATAAAAATGTATATTGTTGGACTTGTATTCAAAAGAGATTTTCCATGATAATATTTGAGACATATAGTTTACATTTTACAAACTAAATCTATGATCAAATTTTGATTCAAAATAAGAGTGTCTAATAAAACCGGACAAAAGGAGTATTCTAATCGTGCCATCGATCACAAGCAGTGAAAAAAATAGCATACTATACCGCCGCTAATAGCACGTAATAATGTTTTAAGTAATGCCTCGCTAAATAAATAAGTGTATAATATCTTGCTAATAGCATATTTTTAAGGTCACGTTATTTTGTTACAGCATGCTATTTTTTTCATTGAAGGTCTGACATGGGCGGGCCTTGGCGCGTATCGGCACTAGCAAGTTATAATAAGGACCTGCCTTAAGCGTGCCCCGGTTGCACCACTTGCTCCCTCGATTTTCTCGCCCATTAGCATTACACGCTTGCTCCCCTTCCTCCTCTTCTCGTCGCCATCTTCTATCCTCCTCCTCATCATCGCCATGACGAGCACATCTTCCCACCGGAAGCGTTGAAGATCGAAGCAGTACAAGCAAGCAACAAGGTAAGCGTCATCCCATATCCTCCCTTGCATGCAAAGTAGGAGGTCGTTTAGTTATACTCCGGTGCTTTGCTAGTTTCTTGCTCATTTGAGAATACGATGCAGTTTCTTGGCAGCTGATGCACGTTTAGCAATTCATCATCAGTAAATAGATTATATCCACGTTTTGCTTTAAGTTTGGTATGTAGAAGAAGCAGGTGTTTATGGGTTACTAAGGGTACATAGCTTAGCTTTGGAGAAGGAACAAAAAGTCAGGTCTGACGATGAAGAACAAATCAAAGATCGTCACCTGGGAATAGCCGCCATGCATGTTCATTAGAATAAGAAAAGGGAGAAGAAAAAGGAAGGGCTTGGCTGCCGTCTACGCATTTCAAAGACCGCGTGAAACAACGACAAATGCAGGCTTGACTGGACCGGAGGCGCCCGGTCTGTCGCCATGCCACATTTGGCAGTTCCTGGCGTTGCATCGTCGTATCTTTAATTTGACAAACTACCCGCCAAGAAATTTTAAAGAATGCACTATACAAGTTCATTGGATTTGACATGGACGCTCAGGTTAATTTCCTAATGAAAAAAGGTTTATGAAAAAAATCAACAAATATATTTTGATGTTCTAAAAAAATTGATACAGAACACATATGTACATAAGGATGTATACTACATTTCTGTACAACTTCATGATGAAATACATTTCGGTGTGAGCTGCAAAAAGAAATATCATGGATATTTATAGTGAATAGCGCATGTGTTAGAAATACAAGTTTTTTTTAGCTTGCACCAAACGTATTCATCATGAAAATTTACATAAATGCAGTATACATCCCTGTGTACATGGGTACATTTTTTTTAACTTCGAAAGATTGTATTTTTCAATAATTGATGCTCCATGGAATCCAGGATCTAAAAATAGTTTTAGTTTTTAATATCTATCTATCTATGTATGATATACAGAAAGAATAATACAGATAAAAAATAGGAAGGTGCGTTAAAAAATCATACAAAAAGCAGAACTTGTTGTAGCTCGCTATTAAACTTCATCAATACTTTGCCCATCTTATTCTCTCACAAAGATTTCTGGAGCCCTTGTTGTATCTCGCTATTAACTTACAATGCGCTTCTCTTCTCTCTCCTCCCATCTATCCTCCAGCTCAGTACAAATCTAATGTGATACTTCTTATAGTCTACTTACGTCATCTTATTATACCTAATCTAACACTTTTTTTCTAAAGTCAATGATTCAATGACCTCGGTAAAATTAAAATATTTATGTTTGCTTAATTGTAGTACTGGTTAGGAGTAAGTATGACGTTCCCGAGGAATAAAAGGATTAAGTATGGCCAACATCTCTTGATTATGTACATATATGGGCTCGTGAACACTACATATTTTTGTCATTACATTGTTAAGCATAAACATGATTTTCAATATCTAAATAGCTAGCCCCTACTAATATATTTCTCTTAACATGCAAGTATGTCACCTCATCATGCAAATGCATGAGAAAACACCCACCTCAACAGCCAACAATGCATTGGAAAATCTCACTTCAACATGCAAATATGCATGATAATTTCCACTCTATTATCGTCTGTATACTTTATCTATGCAATAATCAAACACAAAAAAATCCCATAAAAATTCAAACACAAAAAATCTTATGTACTTTATCATATTATTACTCCAATATTCATATTTCATACCACCAAATCTCATTAAAATAGATTGCAGAACATTCCCGCAACAACGTGTGGGGTATCATCTAGTAACAAAGTTAGATTCCGACCAATTACTCCCCAACGGATCCCTTCTCAAAGTTGATATTTTCTACAAACACAAGACAAATTTTTGCAACTTGTGTGCATGGTCAAAAGCTCATTAAATGACTTGGTGGAAGGTGCTCCCATAACTATTGTGTTTCACTAACTAATAAAAACTTTCTGAATATAAGTGTTCCATATATTAGTGTTTAAAATAACAATCATGCACTAATATCTCCCACAACCTTGGACAACTAGATTTGGGTAGACCCGCTTGTACCGGTGGGCCGATGGTGACCAGCTCCCCCGACCCAGTTTTCTTATGAAGCCGAGCCAAAGGACCTGGCTTTCAAAATATGGGTCAGACCAATGCCCTAGTGGATACCGTCGGCTCATTCCCATCTTGAATTTTTAGGACTCAGGGGCTTACGAGGCCCTTGAAACTCAGCAAAAAATAGGGCGGGCGGGGGCATGACATGGCGCCTCCAATGTTGAAGCAAGTGTTGCCTCCTGATCTTTCTTCACATGCTTCCCCAACGTTCCCATCAGCAACTGCGAATACGGTTCCAGAGGATGCCCCCTTCTCTACAGCTGCGACAAGCCCACGAAGTCGAATCTGGGAAAGAAAGCTTCTAACCTCACCATAACAACTCGGAGGGTCGGCATGATCAAGTCGATCATGGTGAACTTACCACAAGAATTTTGGTTTGTTGATCCTTGGACTCCATCTAGAGAGGTTGCTCCATGTACGCTATATTGATATCCAAGGATGGCAATTTACTCAAGGGCACGGGTACCCGTGGGTACCGGGCTCGCATGGATAGGGTATGGGCACATTTTCTTGGCCATGAGCGATGCCCAAACCCGACCCGACTAGTCATGGATAGGGAATGAGTATGATGTATTGATTATCGCACAAAAATTATAAGCTAGCTTGTGATAGATGCATTGATTTAATGCAAGACACACAAACAACGTCATGAATATAGTGTTTTTAAAAGGGCATAACGATCATTGTCCCACGATTAAAGTTATCAAATGCATATTCTCTATTTCATTTGGCACAATAACGTTTACGTTGGTTATAGAACTGTGGTAGTATTTCTTAATTCTTATCACATAATATAAATATGCACACACTTCACTCGCTAAAGGAGGTCTAGTTAACCCAAAAACTAAAAGAGTTTTCAGTTCCTATGGCATAGTTTGTTCCCATTGTATATGATGCATGTGGCATGCTAAGGAGAAAAGAATGCTTACATTGAAGCTAAAGAAGTAACGACAATTGCATCGACAGGTGCTATGCTGGATAGACTGCAAGTGCAAGGGCTAGTTTTTTCCATTCAAATCAGCAGTGCCCTGCCTGATTGCCACGGATCCATAGAAAGTGAGATCGGAGATGTGGACAACAAAGCAGCTCTGCATCGCAGTTCTGATCACCTTCTTTTCTCCGCTTATCGTGCGACATTTGATATTGAACAGCCCCATATCAGGAACATCCCGCTATCATATTCTCCATGCCAATCCCCTTGCATGGCTCAGCAACCGAGTGGACGCAGATGCACCAGCAGCCAATCCAGCGAATGCGCGGGTGGTATCATCAACAGCGGATGATTCAGGCAGCCTGGATCCCAGAAATTCCTCTACTAGGGTGGTATCATCACCAGCGGATGATTCAAGCAGTCTGGATCCCAGAAACTCCTCTACTGAAAGGCTACACTGGCTAGACACATGGAACCATATGAAGCAGCTAACCAATGTCTCCACTGGCCTTCCCCATGCGACCGAAGCGATCAAAGATGCAAGAACCGCATGGGAAAACTTGATGACAACGGTTCAAAATGCAACTTCTCCAGGAACAGAGAAGCGGAGGCTCTGCCCGTACTCGGTTTGCAGAATGGACGCCTCCAAGTCGGCGGGCGGTCACTTTACCATGGACATACCGTGTGGGCTCGTCGCAGGTTCTTCCATAACTGTCATAGGCACTCCTGGCAGCCTGTCTGGTAACTTCTGGATTGATCTTGTCGGGACGGCACTCCCGGGGGAACCTGAAGAACCCATTGTGCTGCGGTACGGTGTTCGTCTAACCGGCGATAAACTTGCTCAAGGTCCGGCCATAGTGCAGAACGCCTTCACTGCAAGTAATGGCTGGGGTTATGAGGACCGTTGCCCCTACAATAACTCCAACAATGCAACTCAAGGTACTTTGAATAAGCTTATTAGTTGCTTATTACAGTAGCTATTATTGTGGTGCCTCACACTACTTATCTGAAAGTATCTTTCACAGTGGATGATTTGGAGAGATGCAATTCCATGGTGGGCAGCATAATGAACTCTACACGTCACACTGGTCTCAAGCAAGGTGGAAAGCCAAGCACATATTTTCCTTTTAGGCAGGGCTACCTTGCTATCACAACTCTCCGGATAGGGCTCGAAGGAATACATATGACGGTTGACGGGAAACATATTACTTCATTCGCATACAGAGCGGTAATCTTCTTCCGTGTGGATCATGAAATAATTGCAATTGTTGCTCAAATCCTTACAGTTGGAATTTCTGTTATCAGGGCTCGGAACCTTGGTTTGGCACTCAAGTAAGGATTTTTGGTGACTTCAAGCTAGCAAGTGCCATTGCAAGTGGACTGCCTACCTCCGAAGACTTGGAGAACAGCTTGGATCTTGAAATGCTCAAGTCATCACCTATTCCAGCCGGCAAAGATCTCGACCTTCTGATCGGCATCTTCTCAACAGCAAACAACTTCAAGCGTAGAATGGCGATTCGGAGGACGTGGATGCAATATGACGCAGTGCGTAACGGAACAGTTGCGGTCCGATTTTTTGTTGGCCTGGTAAAAGACTACACAATAATTATTTCAATCAACTGACAAGGGTTTCAAAGTGTTCTTTTACTGCTTCCGTTTACATATTAAGACAGTCCAGAATCCTGACACCAAATTTGGTACTGTTTTGCTTAAAAGCATACAAACCTGATGGTGAATAAGGAACTCCGGAACGAGGCACGCGCACATGGTGACATTCAGGTGTTGCCCTTTGTCGATTACTACAGCCTGATTACATGGAAGACACTGGCAATATGCATCTATGGGGTAGAAATTGATCTTCTTCTCACAATTAATTTAGGCTTCTCCATTTATTTTGCTTTTGTGTGCTCAACTTTGATCTATTTGAACAGACCAATGCTGTGTCAGCCAAGTATCTGATGAAAACAGATGATGATGCTTTTGTTCGAGTGCACGAAATCTACTCCTCGGTAAAACAGCTTAATGTCAGCAACGGTCTGCTCTATGGTCGCATCAATTCAAACTCGGGTCCTCACCGGAATAGTGAAAGCAAGTGGTACATAAGCCCAGAGGTAATGTCCCCACATACAAAGGTTGGCTGCCATAAAAATGGGTGCTAAGATTTCTGATGTATTCTGCTTCTGTAGGAATGGCCTGAAGAGAAATACCCACCATGGGCTCATGGACCAGGATATGTGGTTTCACAAGACATCGCAAAGACAATCAACATTTGGTATAAAACAAGTCGTCTAAAGGTATTTCAGGCAGAAGTGTAACCTATGGCTCTGTAATATACTCCCTCCGTTCCTAAATATAAGTTTTTTTTAGAGATTCCAATATAGACTACATACGGAGCAAAATGAGTGAATCTACACTCTGAAATAAGTCTACATTCATCCGTATGTAGTCCATATTGAAATCTCTAAAAAGACTTGTATTTAGGAACGAAGAAAGTACATGCTAGATGAAAACTAATTTACAAAAGACCGGTCAAGTGCCAAACCACAACCAAGTCGCCTAGAGGTATATTGATTTAGCAAAAATGAGCTATGATTTCCCAACTGGAACAAGGAAAAACTAGCTGAAAGAGGCACACTCAAGCTATAATTTCGCTATTCTAAAAAGAACTCTACTGTACCTAAGTCTAGCCTCTTATTTATTTGATCTTCTGACAGATTGTATAGCTAAACAAGATGTTATCTACATCCTTCATTCATGCAGATGTTCAAACTAGAAGATGTCGCGATGGGCATATGGGTTGACGAAATGAAGAAGGGCGGTTTACCCGTGAGATACAAAACAGATAAGAGGATTCACATTGATGGTTGTAAGGAGGGGTACATTGTTGCCCACTATCAAGAACCAAGGAATATGCTATGCATATGGGAGACACTCCTAAGGACAAATCAAGCTATGTGCTGCAACTAACTAACTAGTAATGCAGAACCAATTCTGATGATGTGAATATTTTTAGAAATCCACAAACTTTTTTAAATCATGATCCTTTTTTGAGTTCACCAACAGCTGCATCCGTACATGTACGTTGCTATGACGCATAATCGATGTTTCCAGTCCCAATTCATGATCACGAAATCCATAGAAACTGTAGGTACAAGCATTTCTCGGTAGACACAAGATCTTCAGTGCAATGATGTTCACATTCAGATTTAGTACCCACTATATGTCTGTTCACATCAGAAAGGTTAATTAACTCATGAGCTATCAAGGGCCTGCTAAATGCGTGTGAAAGCAGTAAAAACATTACCACTGACTAGCTAATTAGTCAATCAAAACCAATCAAAGCAACAAGCATGGAACTCACAGTTCACATTGTAACTCGGATTACTCTGTTTTGTGCCCAATGCATCAGAGGTGTCTCAATCTAACTAACACCCCCTCCATCCCGTAATAAGATAATTTTGCAATCTATGTACCAATACAAGTTTTAAACCATGTGCAGTTAGTATACCATGTAATTTATTTATTTTGAGAGGAAAATACCATGTAATTTGTCAACACAACTCTGACGAGCTCGGTCGTCAATACAGGAAAATGGACTCTACATATTTGTCGGCAAGTTCAGACTTTCACCAATTCATTTATGTGAAAAGAGTCGAGACACTAAGAAATAGTAGCACATGAGAAGTATCCATTGTGAAGAGAGAGTCCTCGGTTACAGGCTGGAAACCATGGAACATAAGGGTTGCACATCCTGGACCGATGGCCCGTGTGAATTCGGAGTAGCGCCAGCCGTCAAACAAACGAGCAACATAACAGCAATCTTCACAGCCTGCCTCGCGAGTTTGGGCCCGCTGCATTAAATCGGCTCATACACCTCACGTATCCTGCTTCTCTGCATTCACATATATATCACGAAAATACATCTAGCGCACATCTCCAATCAAGAAATTGCAGTCCATTACGTACCAGGAAAAAGTGTGCGCAGGTGCCAAAACGACACCCCCTTTTATTACCAAGAGGCGAGAGCTTTAAGGAGCTTACTGATCAAGGGGACAACCTTTGGATGTGCCATTCTGTACCCCCACCTATTTCTCGCTGTGAATACTGTAGCCTGTTTATATAAAAAAGTATTGTGTTCAAACTACGTTAACATGTTCACGGATATTCAAATGAGGGTTTCTGACAAAATCAAAATTGATAATCAAATGACAAATGTACAGAACATACCGGTCATGCAGACGAGACTGTTGGCCTTGCCAGAACTCAAAAAGATTTGGTGTCAATCTGTAGCCACCCCAGTAATCAGGTTTTGGGATGAAGCTACTGCAGAACAAGAAAACGGCAATGGGGTTAAAAGAAGAAGCCAGAATTCAGGATTAACATACAGCAGCTAACTAAAGATTGTTACACTTTAGCAGCTTAGATTGACACAATAACTGCAGTTAATAGGCATATCTAATCACAGATAGGACATAAGTGATTCATGCCAACTATGCCCCACTAATACCGACATACTGGCTATGGAGCCTTTGGGCTGTACTCTCCATCTCCCTCTCTCCAGAGGTAGAACAGAGTAAATGAATCCATTTCCGTTGCTCCAGATATATGCATGCTTTTCATGATGTTGTATTCACAAATAATATGCAATATGAAGATGCAGATATATTAGTGGGAGCAACATATTAAGGTTGTTGAGTACACCCCCAAATAAATTTTAGCACTTTGACAACTGTTCACGAAACCGGGTTTATGGCAGTGTTGCCCTGTCCTTGGATCTAGGAGTATTAAACTGGTATCGCAGTTACCATTAACGTGGTAAAGTAGAAATAAACTGCTTGGAAACAAAGCAGCTAGGGTGAATTATTCGTGTCAATAAAAAGAGAAATGGCATGGATGACAAAAAGACCGGCTTTTCATGGAAGTAGCACGTTCTTTGATCGAATCAGCTGCAGCTCTTACAGATGCTATTTCTATAAAGCATATTATTTGAGAAGGAAATTATAGAGAGTTAGGGAAATCCTTTCTTGAGGGTCAAGTAATTTTTCCATCTATATATGGGGGCACACGCTTGTATTATTCAATCTAAGTTAACCAACAAGAATAATTTATCAATCTCTCCTCCCTTGTTCGTCATCAATAATCTATATTTTACTCCCCAATCCCCTAGCTATCTTTAAAACACCCAAGGATGCTTACAGAAACATGCAATCGAGACCAAACATGGGTGCAGCTGGCATACTGACTCACCCGTCAGAATATTTTTGCTCCAATTCCTTGTACGCTTGTTGGAGAACTTCTCTTCCAGAAATGACAGTGCTCTAGAAATAGCATAGTTAATAATGGATTTTGCTTTGAAGCATGCTGCGACAAACATAAACTAGAACAACAATACCTGCTTGCTAACAATTGCACCAAGCTGACTTCCACGTGGGCGGCTGTGGAAATACTTCTCAGATTCTTCTTCTGAGACCTTCTGAACTGACCCTTCTACTCTAACCTATGAAACGATGAAGGTCAGCATCAGCCAACAAGAGCACTTTTAGTATACACTGTTTTCTCAGTCAGTTTGAAACAGATTGTTCCACTGGAGCGTTAAAGGTAAGAATGAACTGAGCACCTGACTGAATTTACAAATATGCGGTAAATAGGAATTTGGCATGGTATTTGGTTTTAAAAACAAAAAACATGTAATGTACCAACACCAAACTGAAATTACCAAGCAAACCAACATGTCCTTTATTTGCCTTGAAGACCCATTATATTTCAACACATACTGAACCAAAGTTGTTTCACATTAATTTATTAAACCACACTGAAAGTCCATTTGGTAAATCTATTGCCTGGTTTGAAAACTATGTTGCATAAAAATATACCAAACATGCCTCACGAGTTCATTCCTTACTCCTTGCTAAACGAATACTCCAGATGCATCAACGTTTATTGTTCTCACTTATAACTGGTACCAAAAATCAAATGAAACATGAAATGAGGCCTAGTCTAATAATTAAATACATGGTAGAATAATGAAGAATGTCGGATTTGAGAAAAGATCAGAAAAGAAGAACACAGATAAAAGAGAGGATTACTTAACAGATCAGCTTACAAATAAGTGCAAAACCAGATTATGCTGAAAGATGTGAAACCATATTTCACATATCAGACAGCAAGCACAGTATAGTTTGGTAAAGGACTACCATTGTGTTGCTTTCGCCCTCTTGCTACTGCAGGCAATGAAAATTATCCTATAATACTAGTAGCACATGCGGTTGGTAAAATCACCTGTCGGTTCATCTCATTCCAGTAGAAAAGAAGTGCCGCATTTGAATTTTCCGATAAATCATGCGCTTTTTGGCTACCGTAATTTGTGTACCTGCACAAGACCCAATGAAGGCATGAGTAACAAAATTGTAAGGAGGTTCACTGGAATGGATGGATAATTGTTTAAAATGGTTTTTTAACGTACCAAACGAATCCCTGCTTATCAACGCCTTTTAAAAGAACCATTCTTGAAGAACTGTCCATAAATTAACGACAAAGAAAATTGTCATTATTAGTAACCAGTTTTGCAAGCTGAAAGGAACATTAAGGAAAGAGAATCATACGGCTTTCCCGCTTTATTGACAGTTGTTAAAGCCATGGCATTAGGTTCGCGCAGGCCAGCAGTAACTGCTTCATCAAACCAAGTACGAAACTACAGCAAAGAAACAGTCATCAGAATATAATATTATTGAAAAATTGGCTTATGATTTCTGGAATTACTCAAGTTAATCGTACCTGGTCAAACGGATTAGGCATCACTTGATTCTCAAGAAGTTCCGGGGAAATATAATTCTCCCTGAGAGATGAAATGTCAACTGACGGCACTTTTCCAATTCTCACACACATAGAGGTTCCAGGATATGGAGGAAGTTCAAGCCCATATTTGCTTGAAATGGGAGGCGGAACAAACCTACCCCCTAGGAAATGGTGGGGTCCAGTAAATTTTTTGGCACAGAGCTTTGGTGCGGTCAATGATACCTGGACATTCCGCAATAACTTGAGAACTAAAATTTGTCATGGTTAAATGGTTATCTATAATGTTGATGCATGAATTCGTCAAAAAAATCTTTCAATAGATGCTAACCAGCATATCAGGCTTAATTCCTCCTCCACTGACATCTCCCTCCTCTACATGCCACCCAGAAGGGATATCGACAGAAACAATTGGCGGTCTTTTCGCTGAATCACCAACAACACTCAATGAAACAAGCATTTGGATAAGATCATCAAAGGGTGGACGGGGTGTTCCTGAACAATAGTTTCCAAAAACAAAATATAAGAATGATGGAGAAAATATATGGTATAACTGAGGAAAACAATCACATAGCCTGTTAGTGCAATTCCATTCAGTTCACACTTCAAATGGTAGCAGTACTTTCTTAATTAACAGATTACAGATCATTCTTTCTTTTATAAGATTCTGCATTAAAATAAGCCACTTGCTCCCAGCACCCTTCTGTATACCTATATTCCAAAATACCACTTGATACCGGAACAGTAACCCCATGTGTTTACTGAATAATCATGTGATGTATGAGTATGATCAAATTCAATTTACCCAAAAAGCTGCTAACACTTTCCTGAAAATCATTGTTGTTTATGCTTGGAGCTCAACCATTGTTTTGATTAGATTATGCATAAAATAATTCTGACTTGTACAACCTATGTGTTATGCATACATTCAGCTCCTCAACTACTGCTGATACAGGGACAACAACAACATTGTTTCAATGTGAACATATGAACTAATTTTAAAAAAATTCATATGGCATAGAATATTCACATGGAACAAAACAGGGGAAACATGTAAATGATAAAAATATCTGACATGAGCTTTACATAAAATCAGTGGCCGCAGATCAGAACAACACAAAAGGTTAACAGGATATAAAAATCACACATACCATGAAATGAGAAACCAAACATCGCATCAATAACAATGTCGTACTGCCCTGATAAATCCTGAGGTAGGTCTTCAACAGGCACAAACGGGATAGCCAGCGATTCAAGCTAGAACATAAAAGATAATTAAAAGAATAATACTGGAAAAGGGTACCATGTGACACACCAAGAAAATCATGGAGTCCATCAAAGATTACCTGAGTAACAAGGCCAGAATACAGAGGTTTTGCTGTACGTTTTGGATAACAAACAAAGGGCTTGTATCCAAAATGATAAAGATGCCGAGCAGCAACCAGACCATCACCACCATTATTTCCCGGACCACAGATGATAAGAACCCTTGTGTGTTCACTCAACTTATAAACCTGTGTTGATCATGAAAATTTTCACTAAACAGAAAGAATAACTAACAAAGAAAGAAGGGGCCTGAAAAGACAAGCATGATCAAGGACATAGATGATAGCTCACGTAGAACGTTAGTACTACCTTCTATGTCTGATCAGTTCCTATCTTTTCAACTAGTTAGTGGGAGTTCACAACTATCAAGAGACCATAGTACTGTATTGCCCACTCATTTTCTTTGTAGTGGTCCTTTAATGGCGACATCTTTCTATCATTTCGCAACAACAGCAACCTGCTGCTGCTGCATAGTCTAGACGGTCTAGTGCTAGACAATTTACTCAGACAACTAACCAGCTAACTGGTAATTAGCACGGCAACCAGAACAAGAAGCCAACATGGCAATACAGTTCAAGAGCAGCACAGAAAGTCATGTGTCTTATACCTCCGCAACGGCAGTAGCGACGCTTAGCCCGGCGAGCTCCTGCACGGAAGCAAACCCAGATCAAATCAAGGAGTCAGCACCAGAGGGCCTCCGCCCCACAACCGCGGCGCTAACAACAGCAGGTGAAATAAGAGCGGGGGGCCGAGGTTCCTCGCCACTTACCATGAGCTGGTCGACGCTGAAACCGAGGGGCCCCATGAGCTGCTCGTCGATATCCGCAGCGTCGCGCTGCGAGAGGTGCGTCACCTCCGCGGCGGCGGCGGCCGCCGTCGACGTCGCCAGCGACGCCATGGCCTGCCTGGGCGTGGGGAACAGGTCCCGCTGCGGCGCAGAGGCGGCGAGGAAGGCGAGGCCGCGGCGGGGCGGGGAAGGGAGGCGGAAGTGGGGGCTAGGGTATGGGGACGGAGGAGGGCAGAGCGGAGTGGCGGTGGCGGTGGCGGAGGTAGAGAGGAAGAAGGGCATAACACGGGTGGTGCTGGCGAGACCGGATTTGTTGCGGAACTTGGACACGGCGGTCAGCATCGAGCGCTGGCGGCGCCGGGGACTGGCCGCTCGCACCGCGGTGACTGGCTCAGCCGGCTGGCTGGTGTGTCTGTCATGCACGGGGTGGCTTGCTGCTAGCCAGATGGGTGATGTGGCGTGTCAAGGGTTACATATTACTTGAACAGGATCTGTTCTATAGGCTCGTACCGCTAAATTGATGCACGAAAAATGTTTAGAAATTCATTTATTTCGTCTGAACCATAATTTTCAGATAATAAAAATGCTAAACTTATGGGTGGAATGCTGGACCCCTCCGGACTAGTATCTTCGTGAATGTCAAGATGACAAATGACATATGTCCGTTACTTCACCCGATTCATATTAATTGTTGCTTATTTAGTTTTATTAGACACTTAATACAACTTTAGACATTGTTTGGACTATCCAATTGGCATGGTAATGCGTGAAGCTGAAACAGGGAAGTCCGGTTTATACCTTGCTAATCAATATATTTGATGGGGATTCATTATTAAAAAGGGGATGGGAAGGGGAAAAGCTATGTGTTCTGTGGGAAAAATGAATCAGTTGATCGTCTACTATTTGATTGTTCGGCCGCCTCCTTAATATGGAGTTTAATAAAATGTTCATTTGGTCTGATAAAAACACCATCATCAGTTCAAGATTGTTTTGGGGTATGGTTAAACACTTTTAAGAGAGATGATAAAAAAATGGTGGTGGTAGGGGTTGCCAAGTGTGTTGGGCGCCGTGGAAAGCCAGGAATGGGGTCGTTTTTTAAAGGAAAAAAATTCTGACCCTATGACTATAATCAAAATGATGACACATTGGATGTGTGATTGGCCTATTTTGCAGATAAAGGAGCAATGAAAAAAAGCACTGGAGCAGGGGGGCAAGACTACTAGAACGGATAGCAAGTAAAGTATATGCGGCCTCGCAAGGGTGGAGAATAAACGTGGCGCGGCTGGAATCATAAACTCATCCTGGAGGGGCGGCTGGCTCACTTGTTTCTGTCCTTTTGTTGTCTTGGTTCTATCTTTTGGGATATAAGGTCCTTAGCCTGGATGAATGTAATGACGTCAGTATATTTGAACTTAGAACTCGCTGCTGCTGTTGTAGGTTTGTGAATGTTGTCTTTGCTATGTGGCTATGCCAGCCTGAGCTGGGAATAGCTGCATTGTCGTTGTTTTCCTTTTCAATTCTTTAGCTGGTCCTTGTAGTTCTGAACGATGTGATTTTCATTAATGAAAATCAGAGGGGTGCAAAAGCCCTTCTTTCTTTCAAAAAAGATATTTGATATTTTTTTATTTGAGATGCTTTGTACTTCTGGTGAACTTTTTATAATGGACGCGTCTAGGGAGCAGCCGGCTGCTCCCTAGCGTTCCCTGACAGCCTCTCAGAAAAGGAAAGAGCCTGTCCCCCGTCACAAAAAAAGGAAAGAGATTCCCCCACTGGAAAACCTGGTCCCCGCCAACCCTCAGCCCCGCCAACCGTGTCACGTGATTACTGAACCCCCACCAGCCCCCATCCCCGCTTTCCCTGGGCCTTGAGGAGCCTGCAGCCAGACCCTCTCCACCCCATCTTCTTCTCTCCCAAGCAAGAAAGCAAGAAAAGGGGCCAGTTCCACGATCCCAGATCTACAAACCTTCATAGCCCTGCAATGGTGACCACGAAAAGCTAAAAAATTAGAGAAGAAACCAGAGAAACGCAGGAAGGGATGTTGGAGAAGAAGCACAGAGGTAAATCCATCAAAAATTACTCACCTTTTCTCTTAATTTTGCCCTTATGCTATCCTCCTCTACAGAATTACTCTTGTTTATCCAGCATGACTTTTGTTTGCTGCAACTCTGCTGCCTTCCCTGATGCATAAGAACATAAGAACACATTGTAAAAAACCCTAAAATCACATCAAAAAACCCCATAGAACTGTTGTTTCTCTGCTCATGTTAAACTTGGCAATCTGCTCATCCTGTTTGGGCAAAAATAGTCTTATTATCAGGCATCTGAGGTAGTTACATGATATACACACAAATCAAGAAGATGTTGTGGGGCAAAAAAAATAGACTGATGGAAGCAACTTGCATAACAAATCTATACTTTCATAACAACTCTGGTAGGAGAAAAACTAAAAGCTATTCTTGGCAATTTGTATACCCTGTTCAAGCAAAAACAGTGTTGTTGTTGAGCAACTAGTGGTGCTTATGTCAGATACACAAAACTTTAGCAAAAACGGTGACATATCTGACACTAATAAGAAACATACAAAACATGAGCCTTTTGCAACTTATAAAAAAGGTGAAACTTTATACTTGGTAGGCAACAATAACAAAAAGTTTCTGTTCTACCTAAAACATGGCTGATGATGATAAGTTGTGTTGCAAAATAACATTCTTATGTGAAAGCAAAACCATTTACAAAAGCTGAAAGGTATGTTGTTTCAACAGTGGTGATATGTGATAGACTGGGGAGGGTATCATGGGGTTTGTGATTACCTTCATTTACAAACTGGTTTTCTGCAAAAAGTGTTGTCTTCCCACGCTTGCACAGATAGATAAAAACTTGATATTTTGATCCTGCAAGAAATAAAGGACAAGAAAAAATTCCTATATAGAGAAACCCCCCATGACAACTTCTACGTCGCTTGAAACACAACTACGTGGATACGGAACACACTGAACATAAAAAAGCACAATAGTTTTGTTGCTAGTGCGGAAGATAGGTTAAACACAAGTACTGCACATAAAAGACACAACATTGTTGCCCATAATTGCTGCTGTTTTAAAGTTCTAACATAAAAATGCTAGTGCTCTCTCTGATTTTTCCGTAAATATGCTCGATCTTAATGACTCTGAAAGGACACTTGCTTCATGAGAAAACCTTGGATGGCATGTAGATAGAAAAAAGAGTTGCCTGCATTAAAAAGAGAGAGAAGAAAAATTATGATACACACAAAAAAGCCTATTTAATTATGCTCAAAATGTTTCCTTGAAATAGGAAAAAACAAATGGACACTATTCTTCCGATCCTAGTGTGCTTAGGTGGTTGCGCTATTGGCTTGCCTGTATTTACTGTGCTACTTGCTCGCATCATTCTGCTGACTTGCTTTACTTTTTCCCATGTTGAAAAAACAAAAAGGTTGACAATGATTGACCTGAATGAGGAACCAGATGAAAATAATGGTGATCCTTTCTACTATACGCAACATGCTGCTGGAAATGTAGAATTTGTGGCGGAATCACCTAATTCCCCTATCATGCAAAAAGTGAGTGTTGCTGCTACAGAAGCAATGGAGACAAATGGGCAGTCAAGTCGTGGGGGAGGGGCTCCGGGCAGTACATAAGTACCTGCAGCAGTAGCAGTTGAGAGTGATGCTCATACCCTTGATGGCACAGGTGTTGCAGGTGATACTGATGGGACTGTTGGTAATGGTTTGGGTGCTAAAAATGATGATGAAGCTTGGTCACAGCCCAAGGAGCCTTATGTGGGTATGAGGTTTGACACTTTGGAAGATGCCAAGGAGCACTACAATGCATATTCCTTGCAGATGGGTTTTTCAATTAAAATGAATACTTCAAGGAAGGATTTGAAAACCGGGAAGTTGATAAAACAACAGTTTGTTTGCAACAAGTTTTGAAAGCCTGATGTCGATGATGGAGGGGCAAAAAAGATTCATGTGCTAGATGACATTGTTGAGCAAGCAAAAGATGATGATGAAGATGAGGCTATTGTCTTTCTTGATGATGATAGTAAAGGCAAAAAGAGGAGCAAGAAACGAAAAGGAGATAAAATTGTGCAAACTGGTTGCAAAGCTAAGATGATTGTGAAGGTAATAGATGGCAGATGGGAGGTGATCTACTTTGTGTTGGGGAACGTAGTAATTTCAAAAAAATTCCTACGCACACGCAAGATCATGGTGATGGCATAGCAACGAGAGGGGAGAGTGTTGTCCATGTACCCTCGTAGACCGTAAGCGGAAGCGTTATCACAACGTGGTTGATGTAGTCGTACGTCTTCACGATCCGACCGATCCAAGTAGCGAACGTACGGCACCTCTGAGTTCAGCACACGTTCAGCTCGATGACGATCCCCGGGCTCCGATCCAGCAAAGCTTCGGGGATGAGTTTCGTCAGCACGACAGTGTGGTGACGATGATGATGTTCTAACGGTGCAGGGCTTCGCCTAAACTCCGCGACGATATGACCGAGGTGGAATATGGTGGAGGGGGGCACCACACACGGCTAAGGAACGATCCGTAGATCAACTTGTGTGTCTATGGGGTGCCCCCTGCCCCCGTATATAAAGGAGCAAGGGGGGAGGCCGGCCGGCCCCTTGGGCGCGCCAAGGGAGGAGGAATCCTCCTCCTAGTAGGAGTAGGACTCCTCCTTTCCTACTCCTATTAGGAGGGGGAAGGAAGGAGAAGAGGGGGAAGGAAAGGGGGGGCGCCGCCCCCCCCCCTCCTAGTCCAATTCGGACCAGAGGGGGGGAGGGGGCGCGCGGCCCATGCTGGCCGCCCCTCTCTCCTTTCCCCTAAGGCCCATAAGGCCCAATACTCTCCCGGGGGGTTCCGGTAACCCCCCCCCCCGGCACTCCGGTTTACTCTGAAATCACCCGGAACACTTCCGGTGTTCGAATATAGTCGTCCAATATATCAATCTTTATGTCTCGACCATTTCGAGACTCCTCATCATGTCCGTGATCACATCCGGGACTTCGAACAAACTTCGGTACATCAAAACTTATAAACTCATAATAAAACTGTCATCGTAACGTTAAGCGTGCGGACCCTACGGGTTCGAGAACTATGTAGACATGACCTAGAACCATTCTCGGTCAATAACCAATAGCGGGACCTGGATGCCCATATTGGTTCCTACATATTCTACGAAGATCTTTATCGGTCAAACCGCATAACAACCTACGTTGTTCCCTTTGTCATCGGCATGTTACTTGCCCGAGATTTGATCGTCGGTATCCAATACCTAGTTCAATCTCGTTACCGGCAAGTCTCTTTACTCGTTCTGTAA